AACCTTTTCTAACTTCTATCTTTGTTCCGTCGAGTACCATGTAATTTACAACTTTTAATTTTCACCTCTAAAGCCACTTATGATTAATTACATCAATTATGTCACCCCCTATTACTCAGTAATAGACCACTATGCATTGTTCTAAGTATAAATACGACTGTACAGCCTCGGAAGATGATTTCGTCGATAAAGAAAATTTTCTTCGCTGAATCTGTCTTTATTAGAATGTTCTGAGTTTATATCACGCATGGATTCATACATCTAACGAATGGAAATTTCCACCAGCTTTCACAGGTAATAGTTTAATGGACACTCGGTAAGACATCTTGTAAATTACTGAAAATATCTGCTGTCTGATTTTAACACGGATTACTGATGAATAGTTTATCAGGAATGGTGAATGCAGAGCGATCAAATAGAAACGGGCATGTAAAACTTTTACAAAACAGAGTATGTTATTATGTATGTAACGAATGAATTTTTTTCTAGAATGAATTTCATGCTAAGATTCCATGTCTGAGTCATAAGTTTACAGCAGATATATGTATTAAACATCATATAAATGTCGATTACGTATGTCGTGCTCACTACAGAATTGTTGCTTTCTTCCCAGCAATCATTACTCCAATAATGAACAAAATGAACAACCTTTCCTAACAAAACCACCTCCTAGCATGTGATCAAAGTAGTAGTTTAATCTATCGACTATTTTTTACATTTAAATGTCTTATTTGCTTTTTAGTTTTTCCATCCTAGACTGCCTATGTAGTTGATTCTCATATACATTTTATATACAAATATGTCATGAAAGAGAGACGGAGCGTTTTATTATGTTATACTTGTCAGATAAAACAGGACTGTATAGTTTTTCAAAATATCATCATAAATACTATTGGTCATGTAAATGTTGTACAGAAATGATAAAAACAGAACGAAACCTGCTTTGTTCTCTTGGTCATTCTAACTCGATACAACCAGTTATCTTGATTAGTTTGAACAAAAGAGAATGAACATATTTACAAGATACGAGAAGCTCACGACTTATTTCTAGGCTTTTACCTGGCATGCAAACCAGAAGAAGTATCTACAAGAATTGAGAAAGAATCATAACTGCATTGAAAAGGACATTTCCTGTCGCTACAGTGATTCTTCTTTATAACAGGAAATGCTCACTAATGCTGTTCGAAGCAGCCTACGCACATCAACTACGACTATATTTATTCAGACATAGCTTCTATTAAATTCTATGGGCATCTTTCCAACAGTCATTAAACGAAAAGTAAGAGAGTGAATGGAAATGCTATCACTATACAGCTGATTGACACGAGGTATTCAGTATAAATCCACCAGCTCTTCAAAATAATCAGTGTCCAGAGAAAACCCTGGCTTCTTCACTTTACAAAAGACATGTGCGTCGGTAGCACAGTGGTTAGGACTCTCGCCAACAATACACGTAGTCCGGGGTTCGATTCCCTGCCAACGCACGCCTGATATCAATGGTCGGCCTGCGAAATTTGGGCTACCGATATCACATGCTGAAAATTCCATACTTCTACCAAAAGTACTATCTGTAATCAAGCTGTAATCAAAAAAGATTCCATCCTAATCTGTGTATACAGAAGGAGTGTCATTAACCTGATACAGTCCTGTTATCTGTTTGTGTTTCTGCTTAGTCATAATTTTTCCTTTTTAAATATAATTTACAGAGTTGAACTTATTTTTAATCTTTCAGTTTACTTAATTTTTTGTTTACGTAGAAATTTTACTTTTACTTGAGATCACTTCTCACATCTCAAACGTTCCAATACATTATGCATTAATAAACTCTGATTGCTAGATTATTATCTAACTTGCATTCATGTCTCTTGTTCCACAACTATTCTGTTTGAGTTGAAATAATTTTTGTGAACTATGCTATATATATATATATATATATATATATATATATATATATATTCTACATATTTAATAACTCTTGTCCTTTTTGGCTGTTGGCTGAAAAAATGTTCACTCTTTCTTTGTCCATTCTAATTTGCCTAAACTCTCAATTTAATTTCTCTTATTTAAGTATGGGCAGAAGTTTATCTACCTGAATGCAAAACTACAACTGATTAAACAACATGAAAACAGCTTATTTCACCTAACTGATCAATATTTTCAATTTTAAAACTGATACATTAAACAATAAATGAACAACGAGTGAAGGTACAAATTACATCATGTCTTATTTACACCCCAAAGGTTGAGTATGCTTTGGATCACTCCTTATACTGTTCAGTTAGAAACTGAGAAAATTTGTGTGACAGAGATATAAATATTTGTTTTAAAATTTATTAACTTAAAAAAAGTAGTTTGAGAAAAGGACTTCATTCTAATAATTAGTTTTTTTTCTTTCATTTGATCAAAAGGAATTTCTGTTTCTAATTTAAAATTATTATGAAGTAGAGTTTTTGTGTGCACAAAAATTATTACCCTTTTTATTGCCTAATAAAACTTAGCTCAAATTAATTAATTAATTAAGCAACCACTGTGAACACTGATCCCCTCGACTACCAGTATCCAGGAGAAAAAAATTTCTGACCTACAAATAAGCCTGTATTAATCGGGGTTATATAGAAGTTGACAAATTAAATATTTTCGGATTGCGGTTGTGCAAAGTGAATTTTACAAAAGCCCCCAAAAAAGTACAAGCGTCACGTGTAATTGTTTTATATTTTAAGAATGAGATCATACAGATATAGGTCTCAACTTTTCTAAAAAAACTACCTCTGACCATTAAATGTGAACAGATATTGGTTAAGAGAAGAATCAGCTAGTTCTCAATCAAAAGGAAAACTTAAGGTTGTTGGTAAAAATGTATGTGATGATAAGGCGAAAAGTTTGTCTACATATATAACGTAGTTTTTGAATGTAAAATTACTCAGACCTCGGTCACAATGCACATATGTGGTGCGTGCTGTTTACAAACAGATATAAGTGGTTTGCCGAGTAATGTGATAATTTATACATCAGCAGAACAACCAATAATAAAGAAACTCAAGAAGAAGGCGACAACGATGAACAGCATCCCACAGGAAATAGGATATAATTACTGCCAAATTATGACATCACTGTATGCCATTTGCCTTGCCCAATATGAAGTGTACATGTGGATGTATAAGCTAACACTGTTTATTAGATTTTTCTGTTTTCTCTCACTCCCCCCACATTTATCAAAGCTTGAAAGCAAATAAATTGATAGTGACTTAAACCAAAAATTGTAATTCTTATATTCTGGATGCGTTCATTTTAAAGTGTTTTATTTATTACCTTTCAAACAATGAAGTATGAAATGTCATTATTTATGACCATTGTAATTTCAGGTAGTTGGCAGCTGATGAGAACCTATGGAATAGAATGATGTCATTATATACCGCAAATCTAGTCTTTTTTTCTCTTTCGAAAGTGTACATTACTTCTGCCCTTACCAATCTAGTTCACTTCACGTATCTTACAATTATCACTGTTACATTGTATATTTTCTGGAAACATTCTACTTATATCTTGCTGTAACTCTCATACCACCGATGAATACAAAAGTCACAATGCAGTCGTTCTTACCTTACAGTGAAACTTTTATATATTTATGTGACCTGTTGAGGAGACTACAACCAACTACTGTAATTTTCCATGCAACGTATACCTTCAAGTTCCTCAGAGAACCACCACTATAACCCATCAAAACGCCGAAACAAAACTTTAGTGAAGTGAAATTTTGCATTTTAACACACTGAAATGAAATCCAATTTTAATGGAGAAGAATAACACTTCGCCTAACACGCTTTCTTTTATATGACTGAATGGAGATTTTCAAGTTATTTTAGCGGCAAAAACCTAATTATTTCTTTCCAAAAGATATTTATAAATGTAAAGATCTAAGAATGTGATACAAGGGGATGCCACGGAATATATTCTCTGTCTAATTCGTGAACGAAGCAGTAAGCCTGTCCTATGTTCTTGATTGAAAGTTTCAGCGATATGGCCGCAAGTATTCGTCAAATCCCCAATGATTTCTAAAATTTTCCGTAAAACAAGTGATATATATTCTTTCACGTCAATGCATGTGGATAATTATGGACACCAATTTGATTGGGATTATGTAGAAGTTTTAAATAGAGTAAACACCAAGAATGACAGGGAACTTCTGGAAGCCTGGTACTTAAGTGAATCAGCAATTAACAAACACATTACTATAGACCAAATTTATCAGCTAATCAAAAATAAATCACGTGACAAGAAAGTTCGAATTCCAAGTCAATAAAAATGATCAATAGAGATGTAAATCGACTATCAGTCACGAAGATGGTTACCAGGAGATACAATTGGATCATTCCAATGAGTTTATTTGATACTAAAACCTGTGCTGAAGATGTTGTTTAGACGGATGACGAAAGCTCCTCAATGAAATCAATCATCTCAGAGAACAAAACTAATTCAATTATCTGTCCAGATTAATGAGCTCCTTTGAAATTCATTGTGTTGGTGTTGTGTTGTTTTTCTCAAGCAGCACGGGATAAAATAATACATATTTGCATCAACTATTCGTATTCTGTTTTCTACTGTATTTCTCTTCAGTTTCTGCTTCTCTCATTCCATGCTCTCTGCACTGACTTATAGTTTTTCCATTTCTCATGTTCGCAGCTTTGCCCGTGACTGCTTTGTTTAAGACGTAACTCTGTTTACTGCCTTCTTGTCATATCACTACCACTGCGTTGCTTAATAACCTGCAAGATACCGTCAACCCTTCAGCTTAAACCAAAATACCAAAGTTTAAATGAAACCAATAATAACTTTTATTAAGAAAATAAATTGACGTGAAAGATGTTAACCCTCGATAATTGAATTTCCACTGATTTTTGTAATTTTGGTTCTTGAAAGAGTTATCATTGGAATGTTTTCAAAAACCAAACAAAAACAAATGATGAAATCTCTATTTAATAGCTACCAAATGGATTTGCACACTAATACATCTGTATTTCCTGCCACTCGCCGACTTGTTCCTCAGGTCTTTCAATCATCGATCTCCAGTGATCAACACCACGACCTTTGGAAACCATTTCACCTCCAAGAACAACAAAACCAAGTTGCTTATCTAAAATGAAAAAAGAAAATGGTTAATAAGTGACCAGTTTTCATAAAGTGAAACTATGATTTCATAAGAATGCACTTTGGTGTACTTTAACAGTTGTTTGAAACTGTTTAAGTATTTGACTTTATTTAGGATAACAATACATATGTCACAGGCATCTAATGATATCCCGCAAAACCTGAAAATCGGTTTGCTGAAACCAGAAGTGGCAGAGAAACAATATTTTATTTTTATTTTATTCTTATATCAATATTCAAGGTATTGTGAAGTTTAGACCCACAAATATGCTTGTAGGTTCATAGTTTGATCTTCAGTTCAAAAGCCACAATGTTTTGTATAGATGCACTGCATATGTTAGGCAAACTAAATATTTATGTGTGATCAACTTAAAATTAACAATGTTTAGGTAATAAGCATTTCGAGTCAGTGCCACTCTTGAAATGATGATTCTGAATTCAGACTGACTCGGATGAAAAAACAGAACATATTTATATTGAATGAATACACCCTCTCAAGCGATCTGTACTGTTACCAATTATTGAAGTATTGTTCAAAGTTGTCAAAGAGAAGTGCATCAGCTATACTTGTGTATTAATTGACATCAAATAATTAAATTGTTCAAACCATCAACATTATTAATACTCGGTGGTAAAAGATGTACAGTGTATTGTGGTCAGGTTTTTGATATTCCATGGGCTACTAAGGTGGTCAAAAGTTATAATCTGCGAATTCTGATAGAATCTGACATCTGAATTACATTCTTCTAGCAACTGATTTTAAATTGTTTTAATGGGTTCTCTTTAGTAGCTAGACAGAAGTCGAATGGCTTTAAAAACTCGGTTTACTAAAAGAAATGAGTATGAGTATTTGTCTAGTAACCTGAGGTATAAAAGAATGGGCACAGTTCAGTGTATACTAAATTGTCCGAACCAGCCCTTAGTAAAGACGAAATGTCTGGTGATGTCAGGAGGTATTTTGTAACAAACATGTAAACATCAGAGTTAATCGGACACAAAATAAAACAAGTTCTTAAAAAAAACTTCTGCTGTGAACCACTTGATTTTCTTTCTTCATTTATACCTCTGAACATTTCAGTCCTGATATAAATACTCTTGACTTGATAGGAAACATTGTGAGTCCTTCAAGCTTTAAAACAAGATGTGGATTCCATTTCTGTGTAAAGCTGCATTCAAAATGTTGCGGCAATAATACTGAGAAAACATGCAGCTAAAGTACTACGTACGCTTATCAGGATTCTCGAAACTTTGTTCGTTTTATTGAATAGTCATGAAATTAGAGATGTTTCTTTTGGAAGGAAGATTGTATTGTATCTTTGTCTTCAAAATAAAGTGGAACAAACCTCAAGCTTTTGACATTTCTGAAGAACTTTTCATATTCTTTTAGGTGTGTATGTGAAAAGCTTTTTTAATTCATCCATTAACTGAAAAGCAGTCAGTCGACTCACCGATAAATCCGTGTTGTATAAGGGTAATCCTGACATTTATACTGGATGGGTCTGATATTTTCTGGAAAACAAAAGATTCATTGAAACCTTCTTTTGATCCTAGTGCTTCAGTTCGTTTAGCTTTCAACTCTTTACCTTGTATTCCTTGGCATACTGTAACTTTAGCGTAGATATCTTGAAAATGGATTAAATCAAAAGATATGATCAGGATGAACATTCCTATGATATATTTATTGATACAGGCGAAAAATCCCCTACATGATATTGGTCATTCTTGTAAATCCCACAATACCTATTTTTTAGCTACGAAAAATTCATGTTCAAGCTTCCTGAGACAGTCGTAAGTAATTAGTTTACCGGTCCATATTCATCTACAAGGCTACGCAATAGGCATTGCATTTACTTTTTTGGCAACGCTTCAAAAACAATGGTTTTAAAAGTGCTCACACTCATCATTTACCTAATCGATGGTTACACATTCATTAGGTGAAACAGTTCACTTAGTCAATGATATAAGAATAAAACTTGTGCACTGTGGTAGAGTATAATTCCATTCCATCATATCAAGGTGATTATGAGCAATAAATTGTGTTCAAAACATCATCAGTAAATGATACTGTATAATACTGTGAGACTTTATCAAAATAAATTTCACCCATAATGGAATCACTTAGTCACTGTTCTCATGTGAATTCGATTTTAAATAAATAAAGCCATCATAAAACAAACAAATCCAGTCTTCTTATGACTAAGTGACCGAGTATTTCAAGACTAAGTAAGACCTAAAAAAGGTGAAAGTATTGATCCTTTCTCTTTTATTCTCATTCTCCTTCTATCCCCTATGAAACACTATGTTATCCTAAACAGCTCCAATATATATTTTGATTTATTCAGGACTTCCTTTTTTTAAAAAGACTATTCACTCCTGGAAAGTGATCACATTTATTTTTTATTTGTCAGACTGTTATCTCCATAAAATTATTGAAATTATTTTGTAAACATGAGGGTTTGTTTGCTAATTTACAGGCTGCTGTCATTTTATATGTCCTCAGTTTGAGGTATCTTCTCCTAATAAATAGGCACAAACTGCACATGGAGTAACGCCTTTGGAAAAGCAAAAGTAATTTGTATGTAAGCAGAGAAGCCACTAAAGTTGGAATGCAGGATGAGGATTGTAAACCATAGGACAGACAATGGAAAACAAAGCATCCTTAATACATAAACGACGATATTATTCGCAAATACTGGATTCGATTTAAGATTTTTTTTTGTAATTTATCACAATAAACATGGAAACTATTCCTATCAGTGTCTTCCTCAATTTTAACCAGTCATACCTTATCATAGATAAATTTCATACCTGTTCCCCATTAAGACTTGTATCTTTCCGTTAGGTTATGGGAAACTGATGCGTATAAGGCGCGCAAATTTCATAAAGATTTATGCCTATAATTTTATTGACCATCAGGAATTAGTTCCATCGCAACCATTTAATTTGTATGCTAAAGTGTTGAACAAATAAGCAAAAAAAAATTAAACTGAATGTAATTATTATATCAGGTAACTCAGGAGTAGACATACCATTCTCTCGCAACGGCAAATTTCTACATTCGAATAAACCGACTATTAGTCGTTCTGTTGACGGGAAGTATGTGAGAGCAACGAATAGTTGGGGATAAGCGGTAGCCTATTTATATACACAGAAATGTCAAAGGGTTAATATAAGTTACAATTACATTTACTAAAGGGAGAAAAACTGATTAGTGGCGGATGAAACATTTTGTCTCATATTAAAATCACAACTCTTGAGATTAAAATAAATTTTTTGCTGTCGAATTTTAAGCACAAATTTGAAAGTGAGGTGTAATTGTTTCAGAAAGAAACTTGCATACACCATAAGTAATTTTTTTCGGACAACTTACATAATCATAGTATGCATTTATTTACGTTGACATGGTAACCTACTGTAAACTATAAAGTAAATTTAGCTTACAGCTAGATGTTCAATTTGACAGGCAAAATAAAATTACCGCGATTGCAACAGACGGTAGAGATATGAAAAAACTCGATGCTACCTTCAATTCATACAGATCACAGTAAAGTTGCAGCATTCACTTAAGAAATACCATAAAGAGAAAGATATTTCCCTAAGACAATCCTAAATAATCAGACTGTTGACCTATAAATATTCATCGAGCACTTTAAGTGTTAAGATGAAGTGATTTGATTGATTTCAAGTTAGAGCGCATAAGTTAGAAAACCATTGAACAACAGACAGCACTTGATAGTGATTTCATCCTACTTGGGTAGTCTTTAGTTGTGCTCATCCATAGCCTCAGCTATGAGGTGAGCAAGCTGACCGGATTCAAATCGCCTATGACTTCTTAATTCTGCCAGTTCACGATCTATGGTGTGGTTGGGGGCACGATTAAGTACTTATGAAAAACCCTCACTTAGGAGGAAACAGCTACTCAGTACTGGTTGATTCTCAAAGTTACACTGACTGATTTCAGTTCATGATACAACTTTTTCCCGGTAGATCTCCATAGTGAATTATCATGTTCACAAGTGGTGAATGAAATAAACACTTTCCAAAATAATAAATAATAAAGTCAACAGAGTCCTCTAATTTTATTGAAAACCCTAATGAGATAATAAATCTGTAAGTATTGACAAGACGTGATGAATATGTAATTACATTCGGTGAATGGGAATAAATGTCCGGATGTTCAGAAATACAAAAACCATTGTCACAGAAAGGATAGTGGAAATTATTTCTTTTAGTGCAGTCAGTTATTTATCTTATTCCTCAAAGACAAAATATTCAATTTAGAAATGATCTGTATCGAAATCAAAACTTAAAAGTCACGTACCGAAAACGGAAGACTCGAACGAATACAAAATTCATCTTTCTGACTTCAAAATTGTTTCCGAATGAATACATATTAAACTATTTGGAATATCGAAAAGTAAATTTGTTGAATCAAGCCTTTTATTTCTAATTTCTAAGCAAAATGTATCTACAACAGAATCATTTACTCTCGTAACTTTATTAATCATTTACGACCAAATGACTTTCAAATTCCAAAGAAACCAAGGAGGAAACATCGTAGTGGTTGGCAGAGAGCTCTCAAACGTACACCAATACACTTAACTACGGTCCCCGTCATAATGAACACAAGCTGTCGCTCTCTGCCAAACAAGATAATGTACCTAAAATCCCTGATGTAAACTGATACGTATCATAACACCGCCATAATCATATTACAAGAAACGTGGTTGCATGAACTGTATGATGACAACCTTATCTCACTAAAGGACTTTATTTTATTTCGTCAAGACCGTCAATGTTGTAATAAGAAAAATGGTGGTGGCGTTGCAACTTTTATTCACTCCAAACGGTCTGTCTCAAATGACGTCTACTTCACCTTCTCAAATAACTTCATTGACTGTATTACTGTCAAATTTCGCCCCAAACATCTCCCCAAATATAAAGAAATCTATATTACAAACATGTACATTTCTCCTAGCTGCTCTCCGTCTGATCTATCTAATTTTGCTGATGAATTCACCATGTTTGCTGCTGCCAACTTCGACAACTCTCTATCCGTTATTACTGGAGACTTCAACACCTCAGATTGCTCCTTTCTTGAGGCTCTTGGTAACACAAACATAGTCAAATTTCCCACTCGACTTTACAAAACACTCGATCTAGTTTTTACTAATGACGAAGGAGTATATGAAACACGTAGACGCTCACCGATACTTAACGCCAATCATTGCATTGTCCGCGTTTTGCCAAAAATATACAGCAAAACACATATTAAAATCTTCTCACACCTGTCCATGAAAGCACAACAAAGATGCTACACATCTGACAACCTACTCAATCTAAGATGCATGTTAAAAGATACTAACTGGGATCTATTCTATGAAAGTACATTAGATGACTCAATCACCAATACAATCGATTATCTAAAGTTCTGCCTCGACAGATGCTGTCCCAAACAAACACTGTTCAAACGCCTCGACCGCTTCTCGTCTCCTCACCTCAAACAACTTCACAGGCAAAAAGAAATGTTATATAAATGCAAAGACAAGCTAGGACTTAAAAAGATTAATGCTCAAATCAAATCTGAAATCAAAAATCTTAATGCTATCTATAACCAAACACTTTTATCATGCAAATCTCCTATCAGCATGTGGAAATTTTTCAATGAAATTACTGGCAATAGTAAGCGATGCAATGTTTTTCCCTCTTGTGATGTTAATGCACTTAATCAGTCTTTTATACGCTCTCCTTCTACTATAACCACTTCTAACGTTACTAATCTTGTAGCTGATAACTTCCAGGACTTTAGTACTCTCGATGTTTTGAAATGTCTTAAAACTCTTAAGCCCTCATGTAGTCTTGGTCCTAATGGTATACCGGCATATGTTCTAAAACAATGCGCAGATGCTTTATGTTCTCCTCTAACTAACAACCTAAATGCTTCTTTCTCCGGAAAAGTTGTACCCGTTACATGGAAAGACATTAAAATAGTCCCTGTCCCTAAACCTGGCAATAGCAAGAACGTAAAGTTCAGACCCATTGCCATCACTTCCCTGTTTCTAAAGCTTATGGAAAATCTAGAACTTCATAAACTCGATTATTATTATTGCTCCCTTGGGTTCCTAGTGGAACATAGGGCTTCAACTGCACGTCTCCATTTGCTTCTGTCTTCTGCTGTACTTTTCACCTGCATCCATGTTAGTCCATACTCTTTCAACTCCTCTTCACACGATCTCCTCCATGTCACCCTTGGCTGACGTCCCACACGCCGCTTCCCTTTCGGGTTCCACTCGAGGGCTTGACGCGCGATGTCACCCAGCGGTCTCCTCAGCGAGTGTCCGATCCATCTCCACTTTCTCCTGCATATTTGTTGGTGGCGATTGCTTCTTGCTTTGTTTGTTCCCATAATTCCTTGTTGGTGATTCTTTCCGGCCATCTGATCTTCAGTATTGAGCGAAGACAGTTGTTAATAAAGGTCTGCAGCCTTTTGGAAATATTCTTTGTGACCCGCCAAGTTTCTGATCCGTATAGAAGAACTGACTTTACGTTTGTATTGAAAATCCGAATTTTGTTGGTGATGCTGAGTGACGAAGATTTCCAGATTGATTTCAGGCTGATGAATGTGTTTCTCGCCTTCCCGATTCTCGATTTGACATCCTCGTCCGTTCCCCTCCTGTAGTTGAGACAATGCTCGCTAGAAAAGTGAATGAAGTAACCTCTTTCAAATCCCTCCCGTTGATGGTGATTGACGTTGGATGCTGTTGCTGTTGTTGGTTGGTTATTTTCATAACCTCCGTCTTGTCTATGTTCACCTGGAGTCCTGTCTTCGCCGGCTGCTTCTTCGACCAGTTTGTCGGTTTTCGCTTGTAAGTCTTCGATTTTGTGTGACATCAAACATAAATCATCCACGCGCGAAATCCAGGTCTTCTAGGTTCTTCACGTCGGTCCAGGATATTCCTGTCTTCTCGTTTCCCACTGTCTGACGCATAATCCAGTCAGTCCACCACAATTAGGAATATCATTGGTGATAATAAGCACCCTTGTCTGACTCCTGTGTTTACTCCAAACGCCTCGCTGAGTTTTCCGTTGTGGATCACTTGGCAGGTGCCGTTGTCGTACAGCTGTTGAATAAGGTTGATGAATATTTGGGGTACGCCATAGTACTCGAGTAATTTCCAAATTACTTCACAGTCAACGCTGTCGAAGGCCTTCTCAAAGTCTATAAAGTTGAGGTAGAGGTTTGATTGCCATTCCATGCTTTGTTCGATGATGATGCGTAGAGTTGCAATTTGGTCAGTACATGATTTGCCTTTCCTGAATCCAGCTTGTTCTGGTCGGAGTTCTGTCTCCAGTGCGTCCTTTAATCTCTCCAGGATGATGCGACTCAGGATTTTACTTGGCGTCGATAGGAGCATGATTCCTCGCCAGTTCTTGCAGAGTGAGGCGTAAGTCGCCCTTCTTTGGTAGTTTCACGAGGTAACCTTTCCTCCAGTCAGTAGGCACCTTTCCCTCCTTCCAGACCTTTTGCAATAATGGAGTCAGCATGTCTGCTGTAGTCTCTGGGTCTGCTTTCAGTGCTTCAGGGGGTATTCCATCTGGTCCGGCTGTTTTTCCAGCTTTCAGAAGTTTGATTGCGTTCAAGACTTCAGCTCTCGTTGGAGGATTGGTGTCAACTTGCAGTTGTGTGCGCGCTGTTGTTGGTATTTCTGGACGGGTTGCAGGTGATGGTCGGTTCAAGAGTCCTTTGAAGTGATCCGCCCATTGTTTAATCTGTTTTTCTTCCTTGGTAATTGGGTTCCCTTGGCTGTCTTTTATAGGTTTCGCTTGTGTTGGTCTCTTCCCGGATAGAGATTTGGTTATCTGATATAGTGTCCTCAGGTCCCTTTTGCCTGCTGCCTTTTCAGCTTCAGTAGCTAGATTGTCGTAGAATCGTCTTTTGTCCTTCCTAGCACTTTTCTTCACTTCTTTGTCCAATGCTTTGTAAGTTGAGCTCAGCGTCTCCTTCTCCTGTCCGTCCTTGCATTGAATCATTTTCTCTTTCACCATTCTCCTCTCTTCTATTAATTTCCAAGTGTCCGTTGAGAGCCATTCCTTGTCTTGTCTCTTCTTTCTTCCTAGAACCGTTGAACACGTTTCGTTGAGAATCGCCTTCAGAGACTTCCAATGTTCTTCCACGCATGATTCTTCAGTGCTGTCGCGTAGTGTTTCCTGCTTTGCTCTGACAGTTGCAGTGAAGGTGTCTTTTGTGGTTGTGTCCTTCAGTAATTGAGTGTTGAACTTGCATTGTGGCCTATCCCCAGCTATCCTCGAGGCTTTTAGTTTCACCTTGAAAGTCCCTTGTACTAGATAGTGGTCTGAACCCACATCTGCTCCTCTCCTTGACCTTGTGTCCAGTAGGCTCCGTCTCCACTTTCTTGAAATTGAGATGAAGTCTATTTGATTCTTGGTGTTTCCATCTGGTGAAATCCATGTCGTCTTGTGTATATCCTTGTGTTTGAACACACTACCGCCAATCACCAAATCATTGAAGGCGCAGAAGTCTGAGAAGAGTTCACCATTGTCGTTCATTTCACCGAGGGCCTCACGACCCATGGTGAGTTCTCTTCCTGTGTTGTCTCCCTCCAGCTTCGCATTCATGTCGCCCATCAGGATTTTGATATCGCCATTTGGGACGTTGTCCATTATTGCTTGTAGTTGTCTGTAGAACGCCTCCTTCTTCTCTTGTTCTGAGACGTTTGTAGGCGCATAACATTGAATGACTGTAACTTTCCTTCCTTTTGAGTTGAACCTGGCTGTCATTATCCTGGAGGAGATTGGTTCCCACTGCATGAGAGCTTTGGTTGCTGTTGGTGACATCATGATGGCCACTCCCTCGGTGTGCTCATGGTTGTCCTCTAGGTGGCCGGAATAGATTACTGTCTCTCCAGTAGGTAGTTGGCACCTTCCAGTTCCGTTCCATCTGCCCTCGCAGATTCCCAACACTTCTATTCTGTACCTTCTCATTTCAGCGGCTATCTGGGCAGCCTTTCCAGTTTCGTACACCGTGCGAACATTCCAGGTACCGATCCTTACTTTTGCTTTCATCAAAACTCGAACCCTCCCTTAAAAGCTTCGAAGACCCCAAACAATTTGCCTACAGACAGGGTAGGAGTACTTTAGACGCTGCAGCTGTCTTAGACAACAGTATCGTCTCATCATTAGATAAAGGTGCCAAATACGTCCGCTGCACGTTTCTCGACTTCATTTCTGCTTTTGACTCTGTACCTAGATGTCTCTTGCTAAATAATAAGCTGTCCATGACACAAACTGAGTCCTGGGTCACAAACTGGTTGCATTCCTACTTTTCAAACAGAATGCAGTATACCGTATACAAAGGTAAATCCTCTTCTGCTGTGCTCACTGAAGCTGGTGTCCCCCAAGGTGCTGTACTCTCCCCACTTCCCTTTTCTTTTTTCTACATGACTTACCATCTCCAAATGCCACTAATTTTGTTAAACATGCTGACAACCTGACTGTTTCTTTGCCTGTCAAATGTCAAAGTGACTGCTCTAAACTAAATGGGTTTTTATCAGAAATCAGCCAATGGTCAAAGGGAAACGGTCTTACCTTAACTCCCCCCCCAAATCCCAAACAGTCAATTTCACCTTTAGGCATAAATCTGACCTAAACAAACTGGTTAGCACTCACGAGGTGTGCAACATAGGTGGCACTGAAACAGAAACCAAGTCGGAAATTAAATACCTAGGCGTCACTCTATCTTCTGATCTTTCCTGGTCGTCTCATATCTTGACGATTTCTAAGAAAATATTCCGTCTTACCTTCTAAATCAAGAAGTTAAGACTTTCTGGTGTAACCCAACCCTTACTCCTACAATTCGTTAACTCCCGTATTCTGCCTAGTATTCTCTATTGTTCCCCCTTAGTTTTTCCTGGGCTACTGAAGAAAGACTATACCTTATTACGCAGGATGTTAAAGGTTGTCAGCAGGGTAAGCCCCAGGGTGCCACTTAACTAGCTTGTTAATATTCTGGTGGACAGGCATATGGACTCATGTGAAAAATGGGTGAAAACCATTTTATCTAACTCACAACACTCTCTACATTCACAACTCTCCCCATGTATCTCTTCAGGGAAAACCAGACGCCTATATAGGAAACTATATGCCCGCACTAGTAAGTACAGAAACTCATCCATACCCTACCTAGCTCGTGTTCTGTGCGATAAAGAAAGCATTAGGCGTGAAACCTTTAACTTATTAAATAGTCAGTAGAACAAATGGATCTCGTCTTTCCAACTCATATCGTTTATAGGTACAACGTTTTCTCTCTACCTTTTATTTTGTTATGTGTTGTTTTGTTTCTCTCTTCCTTACGAACTCTACTTAAAACATTCTTGTTCGTTCTCTCACACTCTGTATATGTCGACCATTTTGCTATCGCTTACGCCAGTAATTATGCTAGTAGTATGTACTTTTCTAACACCTTCAAACTCTCTGTTTAAATTTTGGCTTTGCTACCGACATGCTAATATGTTGTTGTCAAAACTGACTGAGATAACCTTAATCTATGTAGAACTATATTTATTGTTAATGTACTAACTGGATGCAGTATTATTGATATAAGAATATAACTTGTGCACTGTGGTAGAGTGTAATTCCATTATGGGTAATTTTTGTTTGATAAAGTCTCACAGCGTTATACAGTAATGTTTACTGAAGACATTTCGAGCACAATTTATTGCTCATAATCATATCAAGGTAATCACACGACTTCCTAAATTCATTTATATAGTCCCATTGTTTTTCTCTTGATTTTCACTTGATTTGATTGGTAATAGTATTTTCCATATTTCAGGTATGAGTGACGAGTCATTCCTATTGCATGTGTTGGGTGTAGACTCGGTGAACAAGGATTCAGTAATCAACCTCTCTCTCCACCTACCTAGATTACTTTTTAGAATTTTAACCCTCTCCCACTCTATTATGTGGTTGTGTGTTAGCGCATGCATTGCAATTGCTGAGCTTTTTTCTAAATTACTTATCTTCTCGGGGTCAACCATTCTTATCTTAGCTAAATTTTTATGCTCTGACAATCTGACTACCCCTGACCTACTAGTTTGACCTATGTAGTTGACCTCACAGTCATTGCATGGTATTTTGTAAATAATATTATTTTGTCTAATTGGGTCAACTGGGTCCTTTAACCTACAGAGCTTGTCCCTGAGTGAGTTTGTAGGTTTAAAGGGACAAGCTCTGTAGGTTAAAGGACCCAGTTGACCCAATTAGACAAAATAATATTATTTACAAAATACCATGCAATGACTGTGAGGTCAACTACATAGGTCAAACTAGTAGGTCAGGGGTAGTCAGATTGTCAGAGCATAAAAATTTAGCTAAGATAAGAATGGTTGACCCCGAGAAGATAAGTAATTTAGAAAAAAGCTCAGCAATTGCAATGCATGCGCTAACACACAACCACACAATAGGGTGGGAGAGGGTTAAAATTCTAAAAAGTAATCTAGGTAGGTGGAGAGAGAGGTTGATTACTGAATCCTTGTTCACCGAGTCTACACCCAACACATGCAATAGGAATGACTCGTCACTCATACCTGAAATATGGAAAATACTATTACCAATCAAATCAAGTGAAAATCAAGAGAAAAACAATGGGACTATATAAATGAATTTAGGAAGTCGTGTGATTACCTTGATATGATTATGAGCAATAAATTGTGCTCGAAATGTCTTCAGTAAACATTACTGTATAACGCTGTGAGACTTTATCAAACAAAAATTACCCATAATGGATGCAGTATTGTAGTAAAATGCTGAGAATTCCATTCTGTGTCACAAGTACTGATTTGGAATAAAGCTTATCTTATCATATCTTATAACATATGTAAGACCAATAGCAAACTAAATAATACGGCTGTAAAGAGTAATTTTCTAGGTATAAGCGGTTAAATTTCAGTCAGTGGCGTTTACTAGACTTAGGTTTACTGCTTGCCGGAATCATTAGCCACGCAGATCTGCATTATTTTATCGATGATAATCAAATCCCCAACACTTAATGTCGAAATTAGTATTTTTCTTGCTAAACTACTCAGGTTCCTTATGTTAACTTAAAGGACAGAGAGGTGTGCTTGAACTAACGAACGTCTGCCATGTAAATGTTTATCATTTGCTTTAGTATCACCGGAATAAATATTTTTAATTTTTAATCATTTCTAATCTTCTAATGCGATGGAGGACCCTAATGTATAGCACACTTAGCATAAACATCAACATTTTATCTATTATTTTATTCTTTTACGTTCCCAGTGAGACATCGGATTTCAAGCAAGAGCTTTGAAGTTTCAGTGGCAGCAGTACTTATTTTTATAGGATGCGGTTGCTAGCCTCATTCCCAACCTTCCCTCTTTACCAGTCTTATCACTGGCTTTGCGAGGTAAAGGGGTGTTTCGGCCCGAGACCGAACCCCGGACCATGTACGTGGTTGGCAAGCATTCTACCGCAGTGCCACCGACGCATAAACATCAACATAACTCTATTCAATCAAATGAGAACAGTGGAAACCATTGAAACTCATTATTTATTACAGTAATCCTCTCTGCTCTTCAGAAAAAAGTGATTTCAGAAAATATAATTTAATAAACTTACAGGATTTTCAAAATCTATTTCCAGGTCTCGATAAATCCTAAGTGTCTTATTGTCATCCTCCTTTTCTGAACTTATTAGTTGATCCAAGGTAAATGTTGCTCTACCAATCAGAATGCATCGCCGTCTTCGGTCAGTACTTAGCACATGTAAGTTTAATGATTTCTGACTTATGCTGTGTGGTGCTATCTATTAAAAATAAAGAATGTTTCATTTTGATTAACTCAAGTTAAATGATCACATACTGACCTTTGAAAAATTCCAAGATCAGATTAGTTTATGTATATAGAAAGAATGATTGATTGGTTTTGTCTGACAGTTTTAGAGACGGAAAAATTAATACATTTTCTGATTTTGTGAACTCAAGATGTTTTTATGGCCACGCTTAATCTCGTAATATATGCTTAGAAAAATATTTTATAAGCTTGTTCAGCCTACGACCAATGTTCATTCGTTCAAATCTCTCTTTTGCATACCTCGCTAAACTGACTACAAATGCTTTTGGATGAGGCGGATTGTATGTGTGTGTTTGTGCGGGAAAAATTGATGAATTAATATCTGAAATTCCCAGGTACGAGATTTGCAGTATGTATGGATGCAACAGACTTTTCAAAAAGTAATGCTTAACCTTTTCGAAGTTTTCTAATGAATCATTTACCCATCAATATTTCACATTAGCTAAAGTCTAAAATTTATAATAGTTGGTGTGTCGATGACTTCTGCAATGGATATGATATAAACTTATTCCCCATTGTGATTAACAAACAAACAAACAAACGCTAAGTCGTGAATTGACAGAAGTTAGAATTCAAGGACCATTGGATCGGGTCCCAGTGGCTCAATGGTATACGAGCTCGCCTTGTAACCGGAAGGTCCTGGGTTCGAATCCCGGTGGGTGCGTACTGCTGAAGAGTCCGAAACTAGGACGAAACAGCTGTCCAGTACTCCCAGGTTTTCCAATGGTTCTCTAACTAATGTCAGCTCATGATGAAATCCTGAAACAAAATAATAGTTTGAGTAAAAAGTGGATTATTTGATTATTTTTATGTTTTCCAAATAAATTACTTATCTCTACTGGTGTTGCTTCCTTTAGGCAGCACTGCTAACAAAAGATCAAAGATATACAATATTTTAGAATAAATCACCAAAATGTTTTCGCATGACCCTATTTGACCTTCTCATATATTTACAGAAGATTAACAAGCTAAAACAGCTTTTAATGATAGTAACTTGTGATGGGATACTAAAATTCAAAATGAAGCCTAAAGGGAAACCTAGTAGGAAAATTTGCTCACTTTAAGTGACTAAATATACTTAGTTGAGATCTAATCACCAGCACCTTAGACATAAAGGGTTTTTTTATTAATCGTTTAACATGCAAATTAAAGATTTTCGTGTTAAGATAAGGCTATTCTTACAAATAAAAAACGGCTGATCTGAAGCAATATGTTTACTATATTTAGGCTTTTTGAATATATGCGGGCTGTTTTGCCACCGGAAACTAGCATGTGAATGCATTGGTACTAGTCTAGGTGCTTCATCATCACTTACAACCATTGTCTGTTGCTAAAATGAGTATATATTGTTGAAAATTAAAGTTAATCAGTCTATGGTTCACCGAAGAAAAAGGTGTCATTCATGTGCACATAACATAGCCGCTACCCTACGATACATTCAGAAAGAAAATATCTTGATTAACTGAAGCATAATTGTGCTAAACATATGCTGAGAACAGCGGTCCAGTAATCTTCAAAAATTTAGTTCTCCATCGCATCTGTAGAAGATATAAGTGTCAAAAGGCCTTAAAATTTATACTCGTGATGTCAGTCACAATTAGTCCGTCTGATGTATTAGAATTTTCAGTGCTGACCACCATGGACCTCCTAGGGCATCATTACTCAAATCTAAGGCATACCTGCCTAGGTTGAATCCTTGTTTATACAGTGTTTTACACTCACTAAATAAGGAAGGCTTCATCATGTATCTCGATGAGCATAATAGTTAAGTCTAAGATGCGTATTTTATTTCATTTTGAGATTCATTAACTGAACGTGTCTGCATCTCACTGTATTGCAGCTGCTAATAGCATTCATATCCTCGCTGTAGCATTACACAGTAATGAATGATTTACTTTAACTGCTATCTATTCAGAGAGTATCAATTTACTCTATAGTTTTGTTTAAATTTCTCACTTAAAGGAATGAAGAAATCAGTTTTTGTTGATACTGTAGGTTAAGAAAAAAATTGTAAGGCATATTTGTTTTCATACTGTGTGAGATAGCTAAAGGGACGTACTCTGCATCATTAGTTGTATCTAAATTTAGATCGTTTTGACCAATATGCCGTCCAATAATGGATTAATTGCAATTTTTTAATTTCTTTGCGTTCCAAGTGGAGCATATGGCTTCAACCTAGATCTTTTAAGTTTCAGGAGCAGTGGGTTTGCTAGCCTCAAGCCCAACGTCCCCTTTTAGTCGTCATTATAACCGGGTTAGGAAGGTAAAGGAGGGCGCCGGTCGGGACTCGAACCCTGGGCCACGTGGATGGTCAGCCGGGACTTTACCGCTGAACAACAGACGCAAGAATTGTAAAATTGCTGTAACAAAAAGTTTTACGAAGTGAATTATTAAAATGATACAAATATTTCTATTCAGGCGAAAACAGAAATGCTTGTCTTTAAAAAGAACTAAGCGTATAGCAGTATAATAGTCGCTTATCTGATAACGTTGAAGAAATCCATGTAGCAAGATGTTGAGGTCAACTACATTTTCAAAGTTAATGCATTGCATTTTAAGCTGTTTGCATAAATATAGTCAACAGAGTTTGTTTGTAACTTAACTGTATTGTCTAGGATAATCATTTCTACATAGTAGCTAATAAAAGTTGAGACTTATACAACTAGACATAAATCTGAACTGATAATACACTGAAACAAACTATGCTTTCGTAATCTGATATCCGAAAGTAGATTGTTCAACTTTCCAAGTTTTTAACAACGAACGAAAGGTAATTCTATTTCTTCAACCTATAAATTCATCACTCCTTACTGAATAGCTGTTTCAGAGACGACATTATTTCAATGCTTAGCTGAAAAGTTTAAAACTGAATTTTTGGCAGAGAATTTCAGATATTGTCACAAAAACACGAGTTAAAATAGTTGAGAATAGTAAGTAATCAATATAGTAGCTAACAGAGCTGAAGTTATTTGAAAGCTATTCTTTTACAGGTATATGATATATAGGTGCTATTGATTTATACAGCTTGCGTGAATATTCTATTGCAAGATGTCGAAAACAAAGCATCTAAAATGAAACACTAAATCTAAACTTGTAGTTCTGACAGTTAATTTTTAAAGTGTGTTTGAAATTGACCGTAGACATTCTCATAGAAAAGCGACTACTGTTGAACCCCACCATCGTGTGCATCAAATGAATAAAACAGTAAATGTAATTCATAGGTGTATTTACTGCTATAATGTCATCATACCATTAAATTAAACTAAATTATTACTTTGAAATACGACTTATATAAAAAGAATAGGCAAACTATGAAAGCTTTAACAGCTATCGACAGCTGATACGTGCCACTTTCATTTTAAACGGTTAGCTTAACAATCAAATGTTGAGTAAGTAATCAAAAAGCCAGCTACTCAGTTAAATCACAAGGTTAAATTAAAGCAGAAAAATAGGAAAAAACAATGAAAATCTCTTACATACTTGAAAACAAAAACTTTCATTGAAGTCTGGATTGATAGTGTGTTTCTTAATTGCAGTCACATGGCATTTCTTTTCTGCTTGTTCAATAAAAACCCTGAAATTCGGAAGAGACATAAAATTAGATTGGGCCTAAATAAGTATATTTTAAAAAAACGTTTGGTTTGTTTAAGTTCTTAAAAAGTAAACATCATCAAGACTATGAACTGTGGTTAACTGTCTTAACTACTTTACGGTTTTTGAACTTTAAAAATAAAGGCGAGTAATCGATATTGAGGAAGAATGCTGATGAACTATGCTTAGTATTTTCATTACTGAAATGAATTATTTCAAATATCTACAAAGTGATAAATGCCATATAGTTTATATATACATGTATTAAAACTTCTTTACTATCTGTATCTTTCGGACGTGAAAATTATCTGCAAATCTGCAAAATAACCTATAGCAACTTTGGTGATTTGTTTGATATATTTCTAATTTGTGTGAATTCTATCCTGCAGTGATACCTAGTGCCATTCATGAAGTAGATGAAAGAAATCCCACAACTCTTTTATTGGTTGAGGCAAATAAGTTGTGTGATAAAGTAACCAAAGTTTATTTCGAGGTGTTTCGTAAAAAAGAAAAAAAATTGAAGTTAGATTATGGTTAGGGTAAACACTAGGAGAGGTGCGAAACTTCCTAAACGCTGTGTTACATACTAGCAACCCAGCTGAATTCTTAAGAACCAGTCACATCATTCAGTACTACTTGTTGGTCACACCCAGATAATTTAATCAGACAAAAGTTCATTTCGTTCTACAGTCTACCAATTCGTTTATTTAAACCCGTCGAACAACTTAAATATTGGCTGGCTACTTAAAACGACAAGGAATACGAATAAAACTAACTGCTGTAAAAATAAATTCACATATATATCCAGTGAAAATTCATTGTAGTTTCCTTTGCAAACTTAAAGCTTTCAGATACTATTTATGGATATCTTTATTTATATCGTCCGATCTAAATGGCTGACAGCTTTTGAAGTTATTCAACGTCTAAACCACTAGCGGTTTTTCCATGGTAATTCTTCCCTACCACTGTCGAGATAATGAGAATAGCATGACCTCCTTTAGTCGAATTGTTCCAACAGAATAACATACTTACAGCATATATTTTGTGTCTTATTGAGTAGTTTCTTGTATTACAAGCTCAATCAATTTTTGTAAATGAGAACTGAATGCTTGTGAATACATTTCATATTTCCATGGTGCCACAGTAAATGGTAATCAATCTGATATTCGAGTGGAAAAATATATTCCTGATTTCTATAATTTATGAGGCTGTTTTGAAAATCATAACTGATGCCATTAAAATATAGGTCAGTAAAAAGAACTGCTATACTACAGCACACGTTAAAAATGAAAAGTAATCCAACGTAGACAAATAACGTCTATCCCTCAACTTGATCTTTGTCCTTGGCTGTTAAAATCTGTCTTTTGTATACAACACATTGTATTTAACATAAAATCATTCCAGAAACTTACTTTACTCTATAGTCAACTGTAGCGTGTTCTTCTGAGAATGTACCTGATTGAACAGATGAGGATCCAACATACTGTGATTTTGAATTTATGCTCATCTGACGTAAATTTCTAGCTTTATGGATAGTAACTTTAAGTAACTCCATTCTTTTATTATAACTGACTGAAAACCACACTCTGCCTATATGTCCAGGTTGGATTTCATAAAGGTCTTCTGTTTCTTCACTCAAATACAGAGATGGATTCAATCTACCCAGATGTCGTCCTTGTACTGCAGAAAAAATAAAGTTATAAAAAAAAGCGACGTAAACCAAACTTGGATGTGTCTAATACATCCTAATCTGTTTTATATTGCTGAAAAAAGCAGGCAAGCTAAACAGTTTTATAATCGTTTATGTGTGCAGTAACAGACCTCGGAAGAAAACTGGAATGAAAGATGTCTTCCCATAAGTTTATTTCGGAGAAGAATATAGACACGATTACGCCTGTAAACTAAGACAATAAAGTATGTTGGTTTATCGATGAAGATGTTGCTTGTTTACTACTTTTGCCTGAATAAGCATATAGTCAGTGAACAGATGAAAATTGTTTAAATTAAAACTGTATGTCTATCTGTACTAAATTTGGAGAACACGCTCATGCAAGTTTCTTTTAAACTGATTGCTAGGCTACAAATACCTTAAGATATCTCAAGATTTATTGGTTGATAAGTGCAATTTTGACTTGATTTTTACCTTTATTCTAGCTTCTTGTATTTTTCAATAATTACTAATTTGATCATTAATATTTTTATCTAGTTGTTAGCTTATTGCTGTTAGCAACCCTGTTACGTGATCTCCAGGACTTTTGCTAACGATCATTTAATTTATCTGTTGTATTAGTTTTGACTTTCGTCTTCAAAACCCTCAAATGTTACCATGTTGTCAAGTGTATGACAAAGGTAAACTCATTAATGCGCTGTTCCCCGATCAACGTAGTACACTCTAAACCTAACTTCAGATGAAATTGTGAAGTAAACTAAAGTTCACTTTTACCCCCAAATATTGAGAAGTCTGCTTTTGAAATAGTAAAATGTTTAGTTACTGATTTCTTAAACTAATTACTGAATGATGTGCAATGTAGAAGTGAAGTATTAGCTTTTTTAAGAATAAGGTAATCTAAATAATTTGGTCATTATTGAGCTAACCAGTTCTCATAACAGAAAAATCTAACTGAACATTAACACTTCTGCAGCTGATCACATTATTATGCATAAAATTTTTAATTCACAAATTAAAAATGACTGTTGTTCACTGACAAGAAGTAACAATCGTGATGTGTTCATTTTCTCAACATAATCTGTTTACTCATTAGATATGGAAACTGTCAGAAAAAAAGTTTGATTATGAAGCAACTTCATTTGTTAGTGTAAGCACTAGTAAAAGGAAATTTTTATTTACTAGAGAAAGCAATGGTAGTCAGTGGATTCTTTAAAGAATATAAGGTTTGAACTAATCGTCATGGATAATAAATCCATTTAAAAAAGTTGTCTATAGCCTGAAGATTCTGTTAGTGGTTTCCAGCCTAGACGTCCACACAGTGGATTACTTATAAGTTCAGAACAGTAGTAAGTATCTTAATATGTGTCACTTCGCACAGAAAGTTTTATATTAGCTTTGAAATTCAACCACTACAGATTTTATTTACCGTTTATCGAGGTTTATAAATCTAATCCATGAGTATTTTGTACACGTGCTTGATGAATCCAAAAGTTTAATGCATATTAGGTGGGCTGTATACATGTTGTATATCATTATATGTCAGTACTTCTGACTGATAAATGTGTAAAAGATCGTGAAAAAGTGAAGTATTGTCAAAACTTTATGATAAAAGTTTGTGAGCATGCTTTAAAACGCTTTGAACACGCCCTTTTCCAGTCCTATTGAAAGTTTCTTTTGAACTCTGTTTAGTGGTGTGAAATTTAAAGGAAAATTTTTAAAGTACACTTCATCAGTTAAAATTTAGTTTAGGAAAAATATCAGCTCATCCCCTTGTTCAATTCGTTGGGCACTGCTTGTTTCATTGTCTTCAGGGTATCATTATTCTATGTGGATAAGTAAAAACATAATGTGAATGAGTATGGAAACTATTTTTAAATAACTGGTAGAAAAGATAGTGAAGATGACAATAATTTACAGACCTTCAACATAATACTTTTGTTTCTACTGTTATTGATAAAATTAAACAGTAGTGTGCTACGCTGGCGGCATTGTTACCAGGCGAATAAATACACTTTCTTCTTCACAAAATTATACTATACGGTTTCTGTTTGACCCAGTTAAAGTATTCACACTGTTCGCCATACATCAATCAATGTCTTAGTCTGCATTATGTTTGTATATATCTGTTCAATTTAAAACAGTTCTTTTAGTCATATACGTAGCATAAAACTGAGTCCGACTGAAATTCGGGAATCTCGTAAACCCTTCTCTGTTGGCTTTTTTAAAAGTTTTAAACTTGTGTAACAAATGTATATATTTTTCCCCTTAATTCTAGAGTCTTTCTAAAGTAGTTCATGAATCCTTTCGACGAGAAAGAAATTCTTAGTTGGAGATCCTATAAGGAATTCTAAAATGGATTTACACTTGTTGAGAACATCAAACTAGTTATATTTTATCCCCTTCATTGACCTCAAACGTCCATACAATATGTAATAAACAGTGATGCTAAGTTTATGATTTTATGATAATATTTGATGAGAGATTTTTAAATTTTTAGTGATAACCCCAATACTACACTGACTAGTAATGATAATCCTTTAGGTGAGTACATATTTTGAATATATGCAAACTAGTTCATGAGGAAAATTACAAGTGTTTTTATCTGCTATAACCACTTATATTAACTCAATTATCCGAACGCAGGTGAACTAATTCGGTGTTCAGTAGTCCATTTCTACTTATCCTGGCTATTCTGTCTGTTGATATAGTGCGAACAGACTACATGTTTTTTTTCCTATCATATCTTTGGTGGTGAAAAGATCCTTCGTTTCTGATGCTTAAATTCACTGATCTACATGGGGATCCTTGTGATTTGCTCAGTGAGTGTATGTTTTTCTCTGTGACACGGTAAATAGTAAAGTTTCGGAAAGACTTTAAACTTCTTCATACAATGATAATTGAATAGCTAGTAAATTAGACTACTCGAATCATTTTGAATGGTGGTCGTTGTATTAGTCCTCGATCTGTGCACTTTTTTGTTTGTCGTTTTGTATTTCACGTAAAGTTGTGGTTTATGAAAACTTGTGGGATGTGCGAATAATACTTTTTTCCCAATTCAGGATTTATAATTAGAAATAGATCTTGCGTTAATGAACATTACGTGGGAGCATTCTTAATATTTTAGAAAGAAATGTGGCCACAAAAACTCTGTCTACCTGCATTTAGTAACTGTAATGTTGAGAAAATTAACAAAGTCTTCTTACCACAGGTGATTTTTAAATTAGATTCCGTCACAAACCGACACCATTTAGAGAAACTTTGAAAAAGAAGGGTACTAGACGAATGTTTCTTTATAGTCTAGGACACCAGCAGTACTCAAGCATTACTTTACCTTAAATCACACCGAAGAAATTCATGTTATAAGCCTAGCAGGTTTCCAGTCAGCCAGTGAAACAGAATCTAGTGACTCATTTCTTCTTCATCTACAAGTTCTCGTTATACTTCTAGGAAGTACTAGAAGTCAGGTCATGGATGTATAGTGCGGAAGTATCCTGAGGAAGGATGAAACAGGTATCTGGACGTGAATACCATGTTGAGTAAAGTATTAAACTTTGTAAATTGAAGTTTCTGAAAGGTAGGTTTGAAAGGAACCGTATTCAGTTTGTTTGTCTGGTAGAAAATTGAATGGTAGAGTTTTCAACATCTAAACAAATGTAGATCATAAGTATGATATGGTACTTATTCAGGCTTTTCATAATGAATTTTTCGGTTTTACGATTCTGAATTAGTTTGCATTTCAAGTCTAAAGTTTTTCAGGTTAATCATTTTTCGGAATACAAAGTCATAGTGTTTGACAAAGTCAAACTTCCTTTGTTCATAGCTAGAATATAATCTGTGTAGCTTCAAAGTTATTTTCACTCAATAAAGGAACATTTTGTCAGTATTCCGCTTGTTAACTTTTCGCAGTAGGATAAAACGAAATCAATGATATTTCATTTGTGTTATCGAATTCGCCAAGTACGATTATTTTACATAACTGTGTTTAACCATATGAGAATTAAAATGGTCTTCTATTCACCGGACAGAAATCGAAGGAAACAAAAATTATAATAAATATCATAATAATGACGTTTTGAAGAATAATTAGAAAGTAAGACAAGAGGGTAAGTTTGGTTGCATTTGAAACAGTTTGAAGAGAAAACACCTTCAAACCGAGTACAAATATCAACTGGTTGGTTGTCAAAATCTTTCTCAGTGTGATTGCACAACTTGATATGGTACTATCCCACAGATAAATTCATTGAGTCGTTTGTCTTGAATCTGTATATCCTATTATGCTTAGCATGTTGTCTATCAACTAAATATCACAAAAGCAACAATCCCAGAGACAACCTATTAACAATATTTAGTAACCCCAATGAAATCTGTTGAGGTTACCTAAACTAAACGTATGCGCAAGTCTTCAGTCTAAAATAAAACTGTATGCATCTACAAAAGGAAAGTTTGTATGATATTCAAAACACCTTTACAATATCATAAGCGGAGTGACTTTTTGAACACACTTTTATCAGAGTGATAACCAGTATCCACGCTTTCACTAAATCTCATTTAATTCACCAAAGTTATTTCATTAATTAACAGTTAATGCGATAAATTTTATTAGTTCGACTAAAATCAAGGGTTTTGTTATCACAACTTATCGTATAAATTGTGAAAAATATCTTCTTGAAATTGTCTCAAAGATGAGTCAATAGTATGATGTATCAGTGTTTCTACGCTTTAGCTTATAAATAAATGACAATAGTTTAATTTCGAAAACCTCAGATTTATTATCATCAGTAGAATGAAACACATATTCCAAGGTTATTTTAGTTACCTTTCATATTTTTATACTATCATGCTAACGATTCATGATAGCGTGAGAGAATTTCTAATGAAACTCTGTGGGTAATTTTTATTCGTGCGTCGGTGACACAGTGGTTAGGACGCTCGCTGACCATGCACATGGCCTGGGGTTCGATCCCCGGCTGACGCACTCCTCTAACACACTAGGGCAGAAATAAAAAGATGG